GCGCAGCGCCTAGTTCCTGGCTGATTTTCATCTTGCGCGCTTCGCTTAAGACGACTCATACCCGAACCAGGCGGCCGACGCTGCCGCTGCGGCGGACGTGTGCTATTCGCCGCTTCCGCCGAAGGAGTTGAAGTGCCTTACGCTTGGTGCCGCAGCACCGAATTGTAAACTCCATTCGAAGAGCCGGCGGGCATGTAGCTGTTGTTGTTGCTGCTGATGGTGATGCTGTTGCTGGTGGTGATGATGATGCTGGTGTAGCGAATGCGGGTTCAGGTTGAGGTGATGCATGCCCGCCGCACTGCCCACCCCCAGCACGGAGGACGCCGAGGAGGGCGATGAGGATGGCGCTTGCAAGGCGCCGCTACTGCTGCCCGCGCCGGGTGATGTTTGCGGCTGTTGCAAATGTTGGTGATGGGCGGCGGGATGTTGCAGCGCTGGGTGCTGCTGATCGCTGGTGTGAAAGAGGTGCGGATGGTGCGCGGGATTGAGGTGCGGGTGTTGATGTGGATGGTGGTGCTGGTAGCGCATCGGATCGATGTACATAGCGGCGGCTGCAGCGGCCGCTATCGATGACGCTTGCTGTTGCTGCTGTTGTTTCACCTGAGCCAAGTGATCACTATCGTTGTTATTGTTGTTGTTATTATTATTCGTATTGTTGTTGTTATTATTGTTATTCGCAGCCAGGCCCGCACCGATGGGCGATTGCGGCGACAGCACATTGGTCGTCATCGTCGCCGAGGAGCCCGCAGACGACGACGGCGTATTTGGCGTATGTTGGTTATGTGGCTGGTGCTGTTGCTGCTGGTGTTGTTGCTGTTGTTGNGCTGTTGTTTCACCTGAGCCAAGTGGTCACTATCGTTGTTATTGTTGTTATTATTATTCGTATTGTTGTTGTTATTGTTATTATTGTTATTCGCAGCCAGGCCCGCACCGATGGGCGATTGCGGCGACAGCACATTGGTCGTCATCGTCGCCGAGGAGCCCGCAGACGACGACGGCGTATTTGGCGTATGTTGGTTATGTGGCTGGTGCTGTTGCTGCTGGTGTTGTTGCTGTTGTTGCTGCTGATGCAGCGATGCAGGAGTGGACGCAGCTGCAGCTGAGTTCGACTCCTGGATTTCTGATTGCTAGTGAGCCGCTAACTGATGCCCCCCCGCGGACTGCATGTTTTGTGGGCTAAGCATGGGCGGGCTATGGCTGTGACTGTGCGTGCCCATCGGACTGCCGTGCATATCGTGATGCGGATGGTAGCCGGCGTGCGGATGCATGTGTCCCGGTGGCATGCCGTCCATCATATCGCCGCCCATTGTGTTCGGCGGAGTCATGCGCTTCTCCTTCTGCCGTCGGTTGCAGAACCACACCCGCACAACCTCCTTCTCTAGCTGCAACGAGTCCGCCAGCGAAGTGATCTCTTGGGCTGATGGCTTCGGCTGCTTGTGGAAATGCTGCTCAAGCGCGCCCTTTACACTCACCTCAATGCTGGTACGTTTCTTGCGCTTGCGTCCCTGCGCCGCGATCTTGTCGATGCTGGTCGGCGAGCCGGTTGTAGAGTCAGCCTCTTCGAGCCATTTTTGTAGAAGTGGCTTCAATTTGCACATGTTCTTGAAACTTAACTGTAGAGCCTCGAAGCGGCAAATTGTCGTCTGAGAGAAGACGTTGCCATACAGGGTGCCAAGCGCTAGGCCGACGTCCGCTTGTGTAAAGCCGAGCTTAATGCGGCGCTGTTTGAACTGCTTAGCAAACGCCTCTAAATCATCTGAAGTAGGCGTGTCTTCTTCACCGCCCGACACGTCGCGATCGCCTTGCAGGTGGTGATGTATGTGCAACTGTGGCGACTCGCCGCGTAAGGCATGGTGGAGCGGTGCCACGCCTTGGTGATGCGCTGCATGCGCTGGATGGTGCAACATACCGTTCATTGCATGGTGGTATTGCAACGGTGAACCGCCCGTCGGTGCGTAATGGGCGGGAGCATGAACCGGTGCGTGCCATGTATGAGGGGATGCCATGCCTTGCTGAACCCGCGACTGCTGTGACAAATGTGACATTTCCTGCTTCACCGCATCCGCGGGATGATGGTGTGTATGGTGTGTCATGGACGCCCAGGGATCGGAAGGATGTAACGCGGTCCAGGGGTTCGAGCCTAAGCCGCCTGTAGGTGTAATCGAACTGAGCCCTGTCGTAGAAATACCCAACCCGCCGGCGCCGCCACCCGCTCCGGACGCGCCGCCTACGACTGCGTTCGGGCTGGGAGATGATGGAAGCTGATGGTGGGCAGCAGCGGCGGCGGCATGATGATGATGATGCTGCATGTACTTCATTTCGCCTGCATCGGCGGCAGACCGAGGCGATGAGGTGTGATAGCCACCGCCGCCCAGCGCCATATCTAGGTCACCGCTGGACGGTGTCATATACGAGGTGGCGGCCATCCCCACCGCTCTAGGGCTATTCAAGCCCTCCACGCTGGCGGGGTAGGGCTCCAAGTTGGGGCTCAGTTTAACGACCTTGAAAACCGATCTATCGAAAGGAAGACCAGTGTCCCTATGCTCATTCCACTCGAACCGTGAGGCAACCGTCTTGAAGTCTTTTCGTTCAACGTACACAGGCGAGAATTCGATGACGACGATTTGTAGGGAGCAGCTCGCGACGGCTGCTCGACGCAGTGGGGGAAGTGAAAATCTGTTTAGGCACCGAAACGTGAACTGCTGTCAAGCAAAGATTTACAGCTGTTATGCAACAAGTTGTGTGTTGCTGGAAATTTGTTATGCCGACGGCTAATGCACTTTGAA